TAGTCGATCTAGGAATCTAGGCTCTGACGCATCCATTCGACAAGCTAGGTAATCCAGTTTGATGTTTATATTTGATTCCTTATTTTGGTGGTTGTGATTTATATTTTTAAAATAATCTGATGAGGCGTGTACCAGTGCATTGGTCAATATTTCAATCTATTTTCGTGGATAAAAGAATTATTACTAGGGATTGGTTCTAGGTGTGGTAAAAATCCGAAAAAGTGCAGTAAAAAATTCAAAATGTCCTGTAAAATTGTGTAACCTAAAAAAAGTTCATCTATTTTGTGGAATTCAGGGGTTGAAGCCAGGGTTTGAAATCCCTATAACTATTTTGCTCACAAAATAATGTAACAATTAATAAATTTGATTTTTAATTTAAAAATCGTGCCTGATTTATAATACAAATTTAAATCTATCTTTGATTTTTATTTATTCGATTAAAAAAAATGATCATCCACTGAGTGATATAGTTTTACATAAATAATGATGACTAGTTGGCCCCTGCGAATAATTCGCAGAAAATTTTGTTTAGTGAAGAAATAACAAAACAATATGGAAATAAGTAGATCATATGTATTATGTAAGGAAGGAATTAATATTTTTTCCTTTGTCGGATAAAATATTCCATTTAACATAATAGACCAAAATATTTGTGCAAACGGCTTTGCTAGGACCTATTTTTAAACGTTGACTGGAAAGATAATAAAAACAATAAAGATAAAATAATGTCCCGATGATGGGATTTTCTAAACTATTAAAAAAAATTAAATGTAAGAACAAACAAATGCCTTTACCAAATAATAAAGTGAAGATATTTAATAAGAAGAAATTCTTTAATATATTTTTGTTATCTGGTCTTCAATGAGCGTCTATCTATAACTTCTAATCAAACCCGATCGATTTTATACAAAACATCGTTCCTATCAAATTTCAATTTGTGGTAATTTGATATCCAGAATTTTTGACGAGAGACTAGATTCTACTTTTGGTATTATTCAATTTTTACTTTCACTTACCATATATATGTAATACATAGTAAGGGAAAGTATTGCGATCGTGAAAATTTTCGAATCTGAGTTATCAATGGAAATGCATGTTTTGAGGTTACCTGAGTCCAAATAACCAAGTCTCGCAAAATGGTCTGTGAGTCTGTGTATGTGTGTATGTAAACAGCCTAGCTCAAAAAGGAAAAGTCATACGAAACTTAAATTTCGTATTTAAGGTTTTTAAATAGTTCCGATGGGGCAGCAACTTTTTCGTTGAAATCGGCTAACCGGAAGTGCCACATTATATCATAGGTTAAACAAATAAAGATGACTAAGGGACCTTCTAACATTGAACTATAATTGGAATACTACCAACGAGTAGTCTCTCTTCAAGCCTTACATGTCATATTACCAATTCAAATTTAGTTGTTGTATTTTTAGCTAATACAGTTGAAAATTTCAATAAATATATTTACAAAAAATATCAGATGTATTTCTGTTATCAACGCTACAATTACACGTTTTCCGTGAAGATATAGGTTCAGTGCTGTGTTTTGTCAGTCTGTCTGCGTTCCACAGAAGAATGGAAAAACAGGTCGTAGTCAGCTGATTAGAGGTCATTTGAAGGACACACTGCTAAGATCAGCTGTTACTGATCAGCTGTTAAAACGAGCTTGATGAGAGGGCTCAGGTCATTTAGTAACCGGTCTGGGTAATTAACTAGGAACTATTAACTAATAACTGGAACAAGTGTGGTGGGGCATTGTTATCAGCTGAAGGTTACAGACACCCTCACAGCTCACTTTCGAAAATATGCAACTGTCGATTCCATGGGTGTTCTAAATGAAATTGGAGAATCAATAACCCAACGTTTATTAAAAAAAATAAATACATTATTTACTTGGTGCATTAATGCTAAAAATAAAAATATAGTTTCAATATTGGTACTCTCGCATACCTGTAGTAGGAAATCAGTTGCCAACACAGCACGGTATAAAGTTGTTCCACAATCCATAATATTTTTGATCATTTCAAGAAAAGACTAGAAACATAAACTTATAAGCATGAATGAAATCAATAAAGAACTGATGAGAATGAAGAAAAAAAAAACCAGGGTTTGATTTTTGCGAGTGGCAACACTGCATCAAATCATATATTATCATACGATACTCAGTTGCGATACTGAAATTGGCGCAGTCTTGGGTTTTAAAAAAGAAATACCATAGATTTCCTAAAATTTGTTTTAATAAATTAAAAGAAATACATATTAGTGGCAAAGGGAGTCATAAATATAATTGGTCTAATAACGCAAAGCCTACCATTTAGCCGAATTATTTATGAATTATGAAAGTCCCTTTTATCATCGACTTTAGTAAATTTAATCTCAAAATAATTTTGTCTGTATATATATTTTTTTTCTTTTGTTATTTTTTCTTATTCTTTTGTTATTACTTTATTTATTTATGTTTCTGTATATACGGTATGAATGTACTGTCTAAACTCAATTATAAGTGTTCTTAACTGAGACAGATTGTCATATTTCTGAATAACAAAGTTACTTTTTTTTTATTTTTATTTATTCAGAAATATTACAATCTGTCACAAAAAAAAAAATTAAATAAAAATAGTTTAAAAAAATAGTTTGCATAATTTACGATGGTGTACTTAAAATTTAATTATCTTGAACAGTTTTTCAACCATTCCTTCTTATCCAATAAAAACTGTGATTACCTTAATAAAAAAAAAAAAACACACAAAATTGGTCTTAACTTCTTTTTCGGTTCTGAATCGACCCATGCATTAAATGAATTTTTTTGTTGGAAATTCTGTCTAGAATCAATCCCCAAAGTGATCATTAACAAGTGAGACATCCAGGACATGTGTGGCTAATTTCAAAAAACTAGAAGTGAACCAAAATATATATGTGAAAATTTAAACAATTACGTGCGATACACTAAAATATCCACCATGTTATCCGCATTGCAGCTTCCAACGATATATATATTTTTTTAAATACAAGATTGCTTGAGCTTACACGGACTTTTATTTTTTTAATTAGTTCATATTTGTAACTGTGATTGATCTCAATTAAATATTTTAATTATTATATGTGAATCTTTTTAAATTTAATAACATGTATAGCTGTTGATTGTAAGCAGCTGTCAAGAAAAAAAATCCAATCTATTTTAACGACCTTAAGGGTTATTGTAAAATAAACAGTAGCGCTTTTACAACAAAAAATGAATTATTTATTAAGTTATAAGATATTTAATGGGTTTTTTTGTTGATGAACTGTATTATGTTTTATTTACTTTAATAAGTGTGGATTTTATTTCTTCTGTAGGTGGTTTTTATAAATTTTCCATACTTTATGAATTAGATTTATGCCTTCTAAATAACAATCATATCCCTATTGTAACTAAAAGCATATAGTGTAATTATTATTAGTAGCGTGACAAGGATTTAATTATTTTTATTAATTACTCTCTGCGGTCCAACCTTCATTTTACAAATAATAAAACTGTTCATTTAATTGTAGTATTCATTGCTCTAATTATATAACTTCAATTTAAATTTATTCTGTTGTTCTGATTGTATAATTTTTATCAATATAATATAAACTGAAAAAAAACCACAGGACAAATTTTTAATTTATTTAAAAATTTATATTATACATCGTGCCTTATTGCCAATTTATATCATCATATCAATATAATTATTCTTACTGTAATTTTTTTTACCATAATAAATATTCAACTTGTCCAACTTTGCAAAAAACAAAATCGCGAATAATTTATGATTTTTTAAAAGCAGAACTTAATTTAGTTTAGCCGCTCAAATGTACTCTTTAAATGATTTTAATAATGATAATCTTTCTTTCCAATTAAAGTAAATTTTGTCTAGTTTACAGTGAAGTAATTGTTAATTACTTAAATTAAATATTTCTTTATTTATCGCTTCTTATTTAACAAACAAAACATGGCTCTCTCAAAAAACATGGTCACACAAAACTTGTCTTCTACTGAAAATTGCCCATTGTTTATATATATATTTTTTGTACATCATGAGGTCTGCTATCATATCACTCCTATCAAAATTTTTCTTTACTTACGGGACATCCCTGTATGTATATATATATATATATATATATATATATATATATTATATATATATATATATATATATATATATATATATATAATGATAAAGTTTTAATAATGATAATCTTTCTTTCCAATTAAAGTGAATTTTGTCTAGTTTACAGTGAAGTAATTATTAATTACTTAAATTTCATATTTCTTTATTTATCGCTTCTTACTCAACAAAAAACATGGCTCTCTTAAAAAAACACAAAACTTAGATTTTCTACTGTCCTGCTGAAAATTGGCCCATTGTTTATATAAACTTTTTTGTGGATCTTGAGGTCATTCCTATCAAAATTTCTCTCTACTTACAGGAAATCCTGTATATATATGTATCCATAAATAAAATGTAACAAATTTAAGTATTTAATAACTGCTTCACTGTAAACTAGATAAAATTTACTGTAATTGGAAAGAAAGTTTATCATTATTAAAACCATTTAAAGAGGACATTTGAGCGGCAAAATTAAGCTAAGTTCTGCTTTTGAAAAAACATAAATTATTTTTTGCAAAGCTGGACAAGTTGAATGTATATTATAGTAAACATTTACAATAAGAATAATTATAATTATATAATAATATAAATTGGCAATATATATATATATATATATATATATATAATATATATATATATATATATATATATATATATATATATATGAAGTATATATATCTTTTCGTTCAATACCACTTTTCTGTCTTAGTCGAAGGAGTATAATCAATCTCTGATTCAACACGAAAATAATTCATGGTTAATACCAAGCCGACCCTGTTGCTCATTCGGTTATGTAGGGCAATAATGGAACCTACTTGGTCGATTAATTATTTACGAATCTTGCCATTAAATCCTTTATCGTTCATAATCGATAAGGTCACTGGAAGGTGGAGTCGATTAACAATAATTGATGCGTAAACTCCAGTTTCCAGTAGGGAATCGATAATGAGCCATCAACGCCACCTACAGTTGCTTCGGTTCTTCAACAGTAACCTCTACGGTAAGCGGCCTTGGTGTACAACTGTTCCCAGTGGCTTCCCAGTAGCACACTGCACCTCGAACCTTTCGGCAGGATCAAGACTTCAAGAACTGAAAGAGTATGTCTTCTTTTATTTATTTATATTTTTTTTTTTGTGCTTCGGTAGTTAACTGCGTTCCGCATTAAAGTGTCGAAAGCGGAATAATTGTTTCTGACCTTCTAACACGATATGGTTTAACGTCATTTTTATATCACTGAAGATATAAAAAAAAAAACGAAAAAATTGCAAGATGGCAGCACTGGTGGACAACGGGTTGGGAGTTTTCGGGTGGAAGCGGCAAAAATGTATTTTTATTTATTGTACATTATTTTTTATTATTATTTAGTTGTTATTTTACTTCTTTATATTTTATCTTTTCTGTGTATATACTGTGAATGTAGTCCTAACTCACTTTAACCATTGTCCAAGAGACTGAATGTTTGGTTTCGTTTGTGTCGATGTCTAGTCGCAAAACATCCAGGTAATCAGCGCCCCATCAACTAAATAACACTACTTTTATAGTGTTCAGGTGATTGGTACAAAAAGTAAGAATATAAGGATTGATAGAATAAAATAAATAAATAAAAATAACAATAGACAGATAAATAAATAAATTTTTAAAAAATAGCAATAAAATCAATAAATTAATTGAAATTAATAAACAAATCAACTTTTAAAATAAAATGAAATAAAGTAAATAAATAAAAAAATATATATAATAATAAATCTGCAAAGGATCATTAGTGATAAACTTGTCATATATGTTGTTTAAGTCTTTCATTATATAGGAACTTGATAACTTTGGTAACGATTTCTTCTTGATTTCCCAGGGATGCTGATATATTCTGGGGTATTCCGAGATCTTTGAACCTTGCGGTGTAAAAATGGCACTCTTCCAAAACATGTTTTATGGCTAATGACTGGTCACACTTTTGGCATCTGTGGATAAGTTCTTTTGTTATGAGGTGGAGGTGTGTCAGCCGCGTGAGGAAGACCTCTTCACAACGACTGAATTTTAGACTGAATATTATATTACTCAATAAACAAAAAAAAAAAATAAATAAATAAGAAAAAAATCGTTTATGTCAATTACGTGATGGTAGGAGCACGGGCGGGCAATGAACTGCGGTTTTCGGAAGAAAGATCCCAAAATTAATGTATTTTTTATTGGTCCATTATTTTATTTTTATTTATTATTTATTTGTTATGTTACTTCTTTATCTTTTATCTTTTCTGTGTATATAGTGTGAATGTACTCTTATCTCACTTTAAGCATTGTCCAAGAGACAGAATATTATATTACTAAATAAAAAAAAAAGTAATAAAAATAAGAAATAAATGAAAATAAATTACAAAATCTTCCATTTATATTTCTGTGAATGATTTGAGGGAAATACTTAAAAAATCAAAATATGTATTTTTTTGATAAATTACAATGTATTTATTTTTACTATTAAATGTAAGGACGTATCGAGAAAACAAATATAAATTTTAAACATGGGTATACAGTATAATGGTTCTTAATGGCCATATTCTAAGAGGTGATTTTGAACAAAATTTCCAACAAAAAAAGTTTATTTGATGCATGGGCCGATTTCGAACTGAAAAGGATTTAAGACCAATTTAATGTTTTTCTTAAGGTGGTCATGTTTTATTTAATAAGAAGGAATTAAATAATTAATTAAGACTCCATTAATTTCTACGACTTTCTATATTAGATATTGTTTTTCTAAAATTCTCCGCTTTCCAACGATATATTATACGTATCTTTCTGACTAGTATTTCCTGAGATTCATTTACGATCTAAATGAACATTTTCTCTTTTTTTCTACAGTTTCCAATTATAAAATTCTTTCATACTGTATATTTAGCTATTTTTTATAGTTATACTGTCAATAAGAGAGAGTTAATTTTTTTAAATAAACCAAATTAAAGGTACTTTAGAAGAATAAATGCCCATATTGGGCATTTAAACACTGTAAAGTGACATCAATGTGGATATGACCTAGACGATATTAAAAACAACTTAATAACATACTGAATTTAATTTAAATTGTTAGAGCCGGTTTCGAGAAAAACGTAAAAAATGTGTTCTACCGATTATATGAAGTGTCACTTCCGGTTTGCCGATTTTTACGAAAAAGTTGCTGTAACATCCAAGACATATACAAACCTTAAATATGTAATGTCAGTTTCGTACGGCTTTTCGTTTTTGAACAACGCTGTTCACCCACACACAGACCATTTTGCGGAACTTCCATATTTGGACTCAGGGGACCTCAAAACCTGTATTTCCGTTGAAAATTGAGATACGATAATATTCACGATCGCAATACCTTCCCTTACTATATATTACGTATATAGGTAAGCGAAACATAACGATATGCTTAGAAAATCTTTTTGAGCTATAAATAAATTAAAAAGATAAGTATAAAAAATAAAATAAAAATAATTTCAGTTCTAGCCTTCATCAGGGCTAAGAAAAGACCAGATAACAATATCTGAAACTATAAACTTATGAAAAAAATAATATTAATAATAATAATAATAATGTAACGAACATACGAAGAAAATTAATAACAGTAATAATTTATAAAACAGAAAAGAATATAAAGTTATATATATATATAAACAAAAGAAAGATTTAAATAAAAAAATTACACTTTGAATTTCTATTCAAATCTATAATTTTCTTTATGTAACTTCAAATTCCTTTTCTCTGTTTTACAAATTATATTGTTATTAATTTTTTCCATATGTTCGTTACATTATTATTATTAATATTATTTATTTATTTTTATAAGTTTATAGTTTCTCATATTGGTATCTGGTCTTTTCTTAGCCTTGATGAAGGCTTGAACTTAGGGCCTAAACGTCGGCAAATATAAAAATAAAGATTATTTATTTATTTTTGATTTGATTTTTCGATTGAACACCGCAACCAACTTCCTTTCAATTGTTCACTACACTCAACCATCAATCCATTATTATTATTATTTGTCTTTAAAAAATACAGTCGACCCTTTTTATAATTAAATGGGACAACTTGACCAGTTTTTTTAAAAATCTTACTTTTGGGACTAGTTCTGGCTACTGAATCAATTCATAAAGGTGTTAATTTTTATATCTAAAATGAGTCACTGAGTGATAAACTTCTCGCGGCTTTTCCTGTTATCGGCTATGTAAGAGGCACCTTATTTACAAACCTAGGTTACAGGAAGTTTTGGCTAGTTTGTGATATTGACTCATCCCGCCTATTTTTGACTAAGTGATAACTAAAAAACATTTAATTTAGGTAAGTAACGATTACTTCACTGTACACTAAATAAAATTTATATCACATGATACTAGAGTTTGTCATTAATAAAATCATTTAAGCGGAATTTTGAGAGGATAACGTAAGATAAGTTTTGTTTAAAAAAAATAATTATAAATTGCGATTTGTTTTATCGTAATCCAACTATACTACAGATACCCTAGTTTTAGAAAAATTTTCTCCTTTAATATCCTTTAAGTCGATATATTTTTTTATTTTTTTTTATTGATGATATTTACAACTGCATTACAAATAAAAATACATTCAGTAAATGTGAACAAAAGAATATAACAAAATGAAATCACTTGTTGAGAATCTGCCCGCTAGTAGCACTCTAAAAATGTATTTACAAAAGGAGATCTCGATGCCATCTTCTTTTCAGAAGCCTTGGAGGGTTATCAGGGATCGAAGAGGAAGCAAAGTTAGAAACGAGAGGTTTAGGATGGTTCTGAAGTTTGTTATGGAAGGACAGGTATCTGGATTGGGCCAGGTCAGAAACATAAGGAACATTAAGGTCGTTATGGATGATTTTATAGGTGACAAAGTAAGGAGCAGTGAGGATTTTACGAAGGATTTTGGATTGTAAGGATTGGATACGAGAGGAATTCGATGGCTTAGTGGAGCCCCAGAGCTCAAGTCCAAATAGGTCTTATTGTAGTCCTGTATATGAGTCGTTTGTAATTGACTGGGAGCTTGGAGCGTTTGTCTAGTAAGTGTTGGAGCAGTCGGAAACGTCGAACGGTTTCTTGTCGTTTCAGTCAGGTATGAGGATTCCAAGTTAGACGTTTGTATAAGTGGAGTCCAATTTATCGGATTTGTTCAACAGGGAGTATTATTAAAGGATACTGTAGGAAAGGGGAACATAGGTTTATCGATATAAAATAAGTTGAAGTTTATTAGAAAACAAGTTGGGATTCACCTGAAGTTGTGTAAAAAAATGTATGTGAATTCATATGCTGTTATCCAGTGATACCCATCCCTCCAAGGACGATGGTACATAAAACTTCTCCCGCCCCTCCCAAAGTATTTTATTCCTCTCTTCTTCTCAAAAACAGTGTAAACGAAAGTAGAATTTGAATATTCGTAGATTATATACCATTACACATCCTGTGGTCTGTTCCACGATTCTACTTTCTTTTGATTTGAAACTTTTTATTTTGAAAATTCATAACCCCATCGAAATGTGCCCCCATAAAAATTGAAAAATTGAAAACCCCTGCTGTCATATAAAAGTATTCCTGTTTTCAGGAAAACTGACTGAAATAAATTATTTTAAAGTTTTAACTAATTTTTTTCCAATGACCTGGATTGTATAATAATAAATATAAATTCATAAACTGACTTTTTATTAAAAAAAAAAATAATGATTTTTCAAATAAATTAATTATGAAAATGCCTTTTTCATTCAGATCTCCACTCAATATCTAGCAAATATTAATTAAGTTTAGGTTAATTTGGTAAAACTTGAGAATCATCTCAAGTTGTGTAAAAAAATTATGTGATTTTTTTTATTCTGTCAAGTAAATGTATCCCTATTTTCAACAAAAATACAATTATGAAGAGAAAGATAGTTGGAGTGATAAATATAGTGATAAATAAATAAAAATGGCAAAAATAAATAATAATATTTTAGTACTTATGTTTCCTTATTTTGATAATGTTTACTTCATTAGTCCACACTTTGTAACCGTTATTATTATTTATTTCTTAGTTCTTCTTATTGTCATTATTCTACCTACTTTCTTTTACTTCAATGTTCACT